TTCCTCCACTGGCCACCCACAGTGTCTCCAAACAGTGTTGTATGGCCCCTCTACAGAGGACACTGTAGCCCAGGATAAAAACTATGAGAACTCAGAGCTCCTACTATCCTGTCTGAGCTTAGTCAGGCTACTGATAGGCATTACTGGAGCAAGGTGAGGGGCACATTAACACCCATGACACCCTATTGTGTTTTTAAAATTAGCCAAAACAATCTGGAAAACAAAGGGTAGTGATGGATATTTCGCTACCAGAAAATCAACACTACTTATAAAGTCAAAATACCTAATATGGGATAGACCAGACCAGAGTTCTATTGATTTGTAAGGCTAGGATGGCACTGAGTGGTTGATGGCCCGGGTAGGTCCATGCCTTGTGGAAAAAAGAGAAATGAGATCCTCTACTACTTGAGATATAACAGGTTATGCTCTGGAAAACACAAGCCCCCAACCTAGCAGCTTAACACATCAAAAATTTATTTCTTGCTCATATTACATATCCATTGAAGTTAGCAGAGAGGCTCTGCCCATCACAGGCCCTTGATGAAGATAACAGACTCTCCTTCCACCAGTCACACTGACAAATAGACTCCAAGTTTAGTGCAAAACACAACACATTAGATAATGTCTTTGAACTCCCATGAAGGAGAAAATTTCTTAAATTTAAGTAATAAAAAGAGCTCCACAGACATAACAGCTGAGCATTGCTATTCAAGGGCAGAAGAGATTCAGCAATCCCATGCCTCAGCACAGGCACCAGGGTCTGAAGAAACCTTGCACAGAGCCACAGAGGGCTCTCATAGTAGCAGTCCAAAATTGTGAAAATGAAAAACAAAACCAAAGAACATTGTTATTAGCTGAATTGTGTCCCCCTAAATTCTTATGTTAAAGTCCGAATACTCTTTTCATCAGAACATGACTCTATTTGGAGATGAGGTCTTTAAAGAGGTTATTAAGGTAAAATAATGTCACTAGGTGGGCCCTGATCCAATATGTCCAGGGTCCTATAAGAGATTAGGAAAGACATATGCAGAAGGACTGTGAACACATGGAAAGAAGATAGACATTTACAAGTCTCAGGCCTCAGGACAAAACAACCCTGCCTGCTCCTTTATCTTGAGCTTCTAGTTTCCAAAATTGTGAAGAAATAAATGTCTGTTGCTAAGACATTGGAGGTTATTTTTTTTTTTCGGTTGTTGATGGACCTTTTTTTTTTTTTTCAGTGTTTCATATGTTGCTAGTTTTTTTAATATTTATTTTTTTTAGGTGTAGATGGACACAACACAATGCCTTTATTTTTATGTGGTGCTGAGGATTGAACCCGGGTCCCGCCCGAGCTAGGCGAGTGCTCTACCACTGAGCCACAATCCCAGCCCCCCTTTATTTTTATTTACTATTTATGTGCAGTGCTCCCAACCCCATTGGAGGCTTTTGTCATTGCAGCACAATCTAACTGATGCTGACAGACACTGCAGGGGTAAACAGTTTAATTTGCTTTATCCCTTTATTGTTGGATCCGTGGGCTATCCTAGTTTTGCTGATAATAGTGCAATGACACCCACAAGGTAGTCACAAGGGTTTGCTCAGGCTCTAGGCAAAGCCCTATAAGAACGTGATCTTCATTAAACCCTCCTGAATGCCCAAGGAGGACAAAATATTTTAATAGTTCAGAGAGGTAAGTTGAGGAGGCCAGGTGTAATCAAGCACAAGTCTACCCTTGGAACTCACATACTATGGTCGCACTGTGCCACAACTACCTGTGGCATGAGCCTCCATGCATATGGGTAAGTGATCAGAGTACATGTATATGTACTTGGAACTGTTATGGATAGAACTGAAGGGTTTTATATACCCATCCAATAGCAAGACAAAGTCTGCTTTTCCATACCTTCATTTACCTTTAGCAATTCTGCCTACCTAAAACTTTTAAAATCCTGGAATCATAAGAAAAAAATCCATAATTTTGTGACTTTTTTAAAATGTTGCTATCTTGATATCTTTAATCTATCTGGAATACACACTGGCACCAATTTACTATTTTCAGATGGCGAATAATATCCAGTTTACTATTTTCCAGATGGCGAATTAGTAGTGCCAACTGCTTTACTGAACAACTCACTTTACTTCCCATTAATTTGAAATAATTCAACTATATACTAAATTTTCATATTTATGTGGCTCTATTTCAGAGTTCACTATTTTCTATTCATCTCTCCATATAGATACCCAAGTACTTTAAATAATATAGTTTTATAAAATACTCTCAACATCTAACATGACCTTTTATTCTCAGTACTTCCTGCTTTAAGATTTTCCTTAAAGACAGATACTTGGGGAAAAAAGAAACCAACCAACCAACCCTACTAGTATCTTTCACATCTTATTTTAGGGAATAAAACCTATGTGTATTTCCAAGGAAAGTGAGAAACAGACATTAATGTGAAAATGAAAAACAAAACCAAAGAACATTCTTATTAGCTGAATTGTGTCCCCCTAAATTCTTATGTTAAAGTCCGAACACTCATTTCATCAAAACATGACTCTATGGAATGATCCTGGAAGGCAGGATAAGCACCTAGGTCCATCCCTGAGTATGTCTAGCAAACCCTACCAGGCTTTGCAATTTCCAGAGAACTCTCCTCTGGGTCATCTGCCCTGTATGCAGGTGGCAGCAGGAACAAATGACCCAAGGCCTCCTTATATGCGCCATGCATGATGCATAGCCTTCTCTCCTAGCCTTTGGTTGCCTTCTTTCCCAAGGAGTGGTAAAGCAACTCAGTAACTGCCTCTCACCAGCAGGTACAGCTGCTTCTGGTAACAAAGTCACTTTACAGCACTGTATACACCACCTGTGTAGGACAGGCTATAGCCCCCCAATTCTTTCCTCTATACCATTGCACAGGAACTCAGAAATGGACAGTCTGGCTTCTGCTGCTGCAATGCCCCCACTCCTTTCCTTTTAGAGAAGAACCTAATCACAATGAATAGGACCCATTTCCCAAATTAAAAACAGGTCATATGGACTCTTCTAAACACTTGTCTTCCCTGCCTATTGACAGAGATGCCACAGTTAACACTTAGAGGTATGGTGGACTATAAGTTACCCTGGCAGGGGCTGGGGATGTGGCTCAAGCGGTAGCGCGCTCGCCTAGCATGCGTGCGGCCCGGGTTCGATCCTCAGCAGCACCACATACCAACAAAGATGTTGTGTCCGCCGAGAACTAAGAAAAAATAAATAAATGTTAAAATTCTCTCTCTCTTTCTGTCCCCCTCTCTCACTCTCTTTAAAAAAAAAAAAAAAAAAAAAAAAGTTACCCTGGCAGAACAGGGGAAAGCAGGAAAAATAGGAACTTTAAGCTGAAGGTGCATCAAATGGAAGGCAGTTGTACAGAAGTCAGCAAAATGGTTAGAGGTCAGCTGGATGACTGAGCTGACCATCCAAGTAGCTCCAAGTTCTACAGAGACATGGGCAGGCCAGGCCACAGCTGGTTGGAGAGGTATAAGAGAACAGTCTGTCCTGGCCCTGAGCAATCATATGGTGGGACAGCTGTGTAACCCTGAACAGGACAAGGATTGGGCCAGGATGTCTAGAGATTTCTAAATCTGAATCAAGAATGCATATCAGTTTCTTCTGTCAGGTTGCTTGTTTTCCTTCAGATTCCTAAAAATAGGTTTTCACCTATTCCAAGATTTCCTGCTGTACCTTGAAATAATACACATAAAACCACCTGAACCCAGAGCCTTTTAAAAGTAAGTTATGAAATAAAATAATACCAACATCTATTTTTCTGAAAATATCTTACCAGATGTTTGCTTATTACCATTTTTTCCTTAAAAAAAAATAGTTGTTCTCAATTTGTTGTTTTTCATCCTACTTTCTTACTTTTCAGGAAGATGTCCTGATTTTTTTTCCCCAACAAAGGTAAAAACAGAAGAGCTTTGAGATTTTGTGCAAGCACCTGAGTAGATACACACTGTACACTGGGATGACTGAGCCCTCATCCTCAGGTAAACTTTGCTTAAGGAAGCTTCCACACTCAACTCTCATTAGAAACCATCCTGTGCAAAACAGGTCTTTCTTCATTCCAATCTCTGGCCAAGGGACACCAAATTCTTAATCTGATGCCTGCTCCTCACTTTACCTACAGCCCTCAGAAGTCAGTTCTCAAAGCCACCCTTCATCTGCCAAGCCTCCCAACCCCACCCATTAGGCCCCAACTCCTCCCACCAGATCCCTCAATCCTGAGATATTTTGTGGGAACCACACCTGTGACACTGACCTGGAATGCTTACAGCTGGGCCTCTGTTGACAAAACAAAGATCTATTCAGCAGCAACCACCACATCACACATTTAGCAATGGATCCAATACACGTTTAATGAGCACCAATTTTGTACCAGGGACACAAAGCTAAGACTAACGTCCCTGCCCTAGAGGCTCACAGTCTGCTGGGGGATACAAGTTATTTACATCATTGGGGTTTTAAATGCTGAATCAGCAATATGCAAGAGTACATGGGGGGAGAGCATGGACTGCTTTAGAAAAAGGGGAAGGAGCAATAAAGAGTGAAATTATTATTTGCAGGAAAATTGATAGAACTTGAGAATATTAAGTGAAATATGCTGAACTCAAGAAAATCAAGGGTTGTATATTTTCTCTAATGTAGAAATTAGAAAAAAGTAAAGGTCGTAGTGGTAAGGAAAAAAATCTCATGAAAACAGAACAGCAGAGAAAGACCAGGGGAGGGAAGATGGGAAAGGGGAGGTGCTGGGGAACAAAACTGACTAAATTATAGTTATATTGTATGAATGTATGAATATATATCAATAAATCCCACTGTTACGTATAATTATAATGCACTAATTTTAAAAAATAAAAGAAAAAGTGGGGGCAGCCAGGCATAGTGGCACATGCCTATAGTAACCACTTGGGAGGTTGAGACAGATTTGCTTAAGTCCAAGAGTTTGAAGACAGCTTGAGCAATACAGCAAGAAACCAAGTACAAAAAAAAAAAAAAAAAAAGAGGGCAAGAAGCAGCACAGAAACATTAAAACCTGTACCAATTTCTTAAGAAAACTAGTGTGGTCATAATATTACCATATAGAAAGGATAATGCCTGGCAATGGGGCTTGGGCCCCACCTTCCTGCATCTAAAACTCCAGCTGGCTTGGGCTTCTGGTAAACCCACAAGGAAACCAAGATGCCATCTTACTCATTCAGAAGCAATCGCTGCTTCCCCACTATTCACAAAGGCCAATGTATGGAATTAATGGAGTGTCTACTGATAGATGAATGAATAAAGCAAATGTGGTATATTTACATAATGGAATATTATTCAGCCATAAAAAGAATGAAATATGGCAACACAGATAGAACTAGAAAACATTCAGTGAAATAAACCAGGTACAGAGAGACAAATACCCTATGTTGTCATATGTGGAAGTTGATTACAGAGTAGAACAGCCTTCACTAGAAGATGTCAAGGATGGAGGCAGGAAAGACAGATGAAGGTTAGATAACAAGTACCAAAATACAAAATTGTTCTAGTTTCTATGACACAGCAGGGTGACTACAGTTTATAACAATATATCATATAAAGAACTAGAAAAGAGGAGTTCAAAGGTTCACAACACAAAGAAATGGTAAACATTTAAGTAGATAGAAATGCCAACCATCCTGATCATTACACATTTATACATGTGTATCAAATTATCATACTATATTCCATGTACTTATGCACAATTTAGAAAAATATTTTTAATAAGTGGCCATCTCCTCCACACAGCCTTTCTTACATTCCAACCTGGAGGTCAAAGGTCACAGAGAACCGGAATTTGGGGGCAGGAGACAGGAGCACAGACACTATGTAGGGACCATGTCCAACTAGAACAGGCAGGGCCAAACAAATCCAGTTCCAATCACTGTTGAGAAATGCCAAGGGTGGTGTTTTGTGAGAGTTAACAGGTGTAAATATCTGATGGGGCTGATTTTCAGAACTATCCAACTAGCAGGAACAGGCCCAGTAAGATAGAACTCCCATGCAAAGGGTGAGAACACAGCTGGAAACCCAGCAGGAACAGAGGACAAGTGCACAGGCAAAGGCCCTTGTTCTGCTTGGGACAGGGGGTATTGCTTGTGCTCCAACAACAAACAAGTCCAAAATGGATGCATCTATTAGCCCAGCTATGAAGTTGTCTGGAGTCATCTGGGGACACCACTCTGTCCTGATTGGGGGCTATGGGGTTCCTTAGCAACACCAGCCACTTGATCACAAAGTGCACTATTGCTTCTGCCTGGGCCATGTTCAGAGCCCATGGATGCGTGCTGGCAATCAGGAGAAAATGGAGGCTCTTCTGGGGTCTCAACTACCTGCTGTGAGGCACCTAACGATACATTCTGGACTCCCCCAGTCTCAGAAACTTGGTCCTCTGTTTTCTGGGTTTTTGAACCCTCTGAGTAAGGTAGGTCTGTCATCTGGGCAGAGAGGTTAGGAGATTTTGAAAGTCTGGGGACAGGTTTGGTCCCTGCCTCCTCTGGCTGGAAGGGAACTAGCCCAACAGGACCAGGATCATGACTACAAGCAGAACTGGACAGTACAGGAACCTCCTGGGGCCCAGGCGTGCTCTCCTTGGCTAGAACATTTCTGGATGTAGAAGAGGACCTAGACACAGCAGGGGTGGCCACAGCAGCTGAGACAGGCCTCAGGGGAGTACCCATGTTGAGTGCCAGGGCCTCTGAGAACCTAGCTAAATACTCTCTCACCACAGGCAGCTGCGGGGCCACTGGTGGCTGGCTCGAGGCTGGAGGCAAGGGGCAAGGCACTGCGGCATGGTACTCAGCAAAATTGTTTGGGTCTTGAATAACTTCCTCAAGATCCTGGCAGAACAGCTCATAATCATCAGGCAAGGGAAGGTCCCCATCAAGGTAAGGGGCTGCCCAGGCCCGGGCTCGTCCAGTCAGGCGTCCAAGAATCTCACAGACACGGCTTAGGTTGTCTTGGTAATGTTCAAAGCGGAAAGACATGTAATCACCTAGCTGGGCCAAAAAGCGATCCAGCAGCCACGGAGAGCCATCAAAGGTGCCTGGATCTGAGCCAGGCACCCAGTGGAAGTCCATCCTGAGGGGCCGGGGGCCGAGCATTCGCACAGCTGGAAGGCCCCTTTCTGTGGGCTTACCACCAACAGAATCACTAGCTGTGCTCTTCTGTTCCATGGTTGTGCGTACACACACAGGGTCCCCACAGCAGGGCCGCTCAATCCAGGGATCCACAAGGGGAGTATATGCCACCCCAGGAGAGGCCTGGTCCATCTGCTGCCAAGGGTGTGCATTGGCGTAATTGGCAGCTGCCCGGATGGGAATGCGAGGGCCCTGACGACGGCGACGACCCCGAGGCATACTGGAAGCAGAGGGAAGAAAGGAGGAAGAGCCAATGCAGGGAGGTTGTGGACCCAGGCAACACAACAGGATAGGGATCAGCTGGACAGGATGTGGCAGACCCAGCAGTTCCAGGCAAATGCTGAGGACCAGGGGAGCTGTCAACTGCGACCTTAGGAGAGCAGAGGTGAGCCGAGGGGACTGTCAGACGCAGGCCATCATCCAAGGCAATCTGTCCAAAAACAAGGTGGGGAAGAGCAGGAACTAGGCCCAACCGTCACAGGCTGGCAGGAGAAGGCAACAAGCAAGCAAACCCTTGGCGCCCCACTAGGAGCTCTAGAGTGGAAGGAAGGGCCTGAGGGTTGGCCTGGAATGTCTAAGAAGGTAGGAAAATGTCACCTGTGACTTTCAAGGCAAAGGAGTAATGACATATGCTGTCAACCTCAGGAGAATAAATGAGGTCAGATCAGAATTGTCCGGGAACTTCCGGACAATGACAATAACAACCTTTAAAAAGAGTCCTCCATTTGTGCCAAACACTGATCCCTCCTTGCCTGCTGTCAGCATGAGGTTGGTACTACTATTGTCACTGAGGCAAAGTGACTTGTCCTGCAGCTACACACCAACTCCTATGTAACAAGAAGGCAGTAGAGAGGGTGGTAGAAGCCACAGGCCTAACCACAACATTATACAGGTTATAGACTATGCTTCAGTCTGTTAAGTAGGTTCCTGGCTGCCACAATCACTATAAACCACTAAGTACACACAGTCTGTCATAAGGTTCTTGAACATCCAGCATTAGGCACATCCAACAAAAGCAGGGTCCTCAGCTGTCACTTGCTCCCTCCTGCCCTGTCCTTTCCCATGCTTTCTGCTGAGTGTCATCTGCAGGCAATGCCACCCCCACCCCAAACACATCTCCCTACATTTGCCATCCCAGGCTACAGTCAGCACCTGCAAAACCCTGGAATCCTTCTTGCTATGTCTGCGCCCACCATCCCAATCAACCATGCCAAGGGCCTGGAGAGACCCTCAAAGATGGCCGAACTGGCCCCCCTCCAAGCAGAAATCACCAAGGACACCAAACTCTAGGCAACTCAGTTCTCTTTTAGGGCAGGGAATCCTCTGGACCTCTCACTCTGTCCCAGCTCCTTACTCAGTCTCTAGAAACAGAGACCCACTCACAACCTCCACAAAATTCTCTCTGCTTCATCCCTGCATACATATCCCAATCCTCCACCAGCTCACACCTAGGAGTACCATGGACTACACACACCTTTATGTCCAGTTTCCCATTTTACTATCTCAGTTCCCCCCATGGAGGTACAGCTATGTTGGTCTTTCTAACCAGTACCTCCCAGGTGGCCTGCAACACTCAAAAGCTGACTGAACTACCAGCACCTACCTCTGCCACCCAAGCTTTCTGGAATGACCCAGATAAATCCTCCATTTCACCCTGAAAGCCCAGCCATTGACCCTGGCTTCTCACCCCACTACAGACAAAAATATACTGTGGCCTGCAGCAGCTGTACCCTACAAGACAGCTTATGAAAGGAGTCCATTCATGAATCCAGTCAAGTTTTTCGCTGAGTTCTAAAACGGCAGTGTCTATGATTCAGGCCCCAGTGCCCGCCATCTACTTAAGACTAGGTGTCAGGACCGCTCCCCAAATCACATCCCATGTTATGAACCCTTAGTACCACCTAGACCTCTATCAGCCCTTCTTCCCTGTCTTCAACTCCTACCTGCACTAGGAAACTTAGCTGCCACCCTGCCCACTCACCTGCATACTCGTATGCCCCTTGCAGTCTCCAGGAGACGGATCCCCTGTACTAGCCAGCCAGCACTGCTTTGCTTTAAGCATTCCTAACACCGGATCAGACTCTCATCATTTTGTAAACCTTGCCGTCCCATTCCCACCTCACTTATCAGTATGTTGTTCACTCTTGCTTCTCTCCTCACCCTGCCAGGCACTGGGAAATTTTGGTTCTTCTCTTGAACAGTCAGCGCGCTACTACAAAAGCAGGAACCACGGCGCGCGTGAATTTGCCTCCGCAAAGCCAAAGGCAGAGCCTGGAACGCTGGAACCTTCTTCACTCCTTAGAAACCTAGGGGTCCCGGGGAAAGAACTTGCCCAAAGCCAAAGGCAAACAACTGCACCGCTCGCCCACCCTCCCCCAAGCACCCACCCTCCCCCAAGCACCCGCCATGCAAGAAATATGAGCTCACAAGCCCCACAGCAATAAAGCCCACCTACCTGCAAATACGCTAGGTGCCCGCAGAGAGGGTCCAGAGATCCGAAACTGGAGACCGTAGGGACTGGCTTTTTTCTGAAAGCGAGTATCCACGCGGCCCCTAGAAAAAAGAGAACGAGATGAGCCTGAGCCAGGCAAAAAGGGAGCGGCGTCCTGAGACGGCGGGGAACAGCCCCCAAATCTCCAAGGGCTCCCCAATCCCCGCCGCAGACCGAGAAACTTGAGCCCCGCCGGCCAGAAGCGCACCAAAACCCTGGCCCGAGACTCCGAGCGCTCCTCCGTGGAACGGGAGTCAGGAAAGAACAAAGGGTCACTGCGTTGGGCCTGCACACTGGGTTGCCTCGCCGGCCTCCCGAGCTCGCGCTGCAACACTGACCCTTCAGACGAAGTCCTGGACGCCCCTTCTAGAAGCAAGCGACCCAAAAGAAAACCGCGTCGCATAGTCACGCCCCCAGCGTGCGCGCGGCAGCCCCATACGTCCCGGCTCAGGCTCGCGTGACAGCCCAAGCCAGCCGCCCAGTCGGACCGCGCGCGCGCCCTCAGCCCGCCGCGCTTGCGCCTTGCGCCTTGGGGTCTCTGCTGCGCAGGCGCTTCTGGGACTTGCCAGCGCGGCAGAGAAGCGCGGGGGGTGATGGGAGCGCGCTCGGTACTACGCTGCGCCTAGTGCCACGAGTGCAGGCAGGGCCGCTTGCGCAGGCGCAGATCGGGTGGGCTGTATTTGTCCCTGGCTTTAATCCCCTCCGACACTCCTGCAGCTAAGATCTAGAAGCCGACCAGTGTCATCACAGTCCGCGATACTGAATCTGCTGGACACTGGGTGTCAGTAGGATGCTCCTGGCGGGGGTGAGGGTATCACGGAGAGTTTGGGTATAAAGGAGCTGTTGAGCCTAAGAGCTTTCCGAGAATAGCAGGCTTACAGAGTTCACTGTTTAACATAATTATACAATATATGTAATATTGTTAGTTGGGACCTGGATCTACATACTTCCCGCCCAGGTGTGAGAGGGAGAGCAGGCTGCGGCAAGGACTGGTCACCTGAATGCCTAGGGTCTTAAGGCAGGGGCTGTCATGGGTGGGTGGGTGCTGCCCTACCCCAGCTGAGGCTGGACCCAGAGAAGATTGGGCAGGCTGTAAAGGCCTTGCTACAGGGCCATAACCAGGCCAAGCGTGCCACCCAGCATTGGTGACCCCAGTCAGCACCCAGACGCTCTGGGAGCCAGGAAGAGATGAGATCGTGTTCTCCTCACTTGCCTGTACACAGGCTGTCCAACACCACTTCCCCGCAACTTCGTGGTACCTAGAGAAGGGTTGGGAGAAGGTACCAACACCCAGCCCAGTACCAAATGACCATGGGCCACGGATCTGGGTGCGGACCAGGGGGGCCGTTGGGTTCGGGCAGGTGATTTGCTGAAAAACGAAGCTTCTAAAGGCAAACACACAACATATCTGTTCCCTTTTGGCCCTGGTCTGGTGACTCCTTTCATGAAAGATCTCTGAAATGTTATCTGCATTTATACCCAAACTCACTCCCTTTGATCCTTGAAACGCGAATCAAAGATCACATTGTACCTTCTCTGGTTCTGTGGGGGTTTTCAGTCGCCTGGGCCAAAAATAATAAAAGTGGCACCCAGCCAGGAAACGCCTTCTTGAAGTGTGAATGAAACTTGGATTTTTCGGTTGTATCTTTCCTAATTGACCTGATAATTTACACTTCCTCCCTGGAGGGAGAAGGGGAGTTCCTGTGAATTCAGCTTACCTCAAGCTCCAGGCAGCTCCAGGCAGCTCAGGCCAACTCAGGGCCTACAGCAGAGTGGGCAGCAGGCTTGTGCATAACATTAATCAAACAAGAACAAAAAAAAAAAAAAAAAAAAATTCTTTTTTTGGTTCAGATTGCTTTTTTGTTGTTGTTTTAGGCCATTCTCCAGTGTGTGTGAGTGTGTGTGTGTATTGTACTAAGATATACAAAACAAAATTTACCATCTTAACCATTGTTAGGTATGCAATTCAGTAGCATTAAGTACACTACCATTCCCAGACCTTTCTCATTACCCCAGGAACTGTCTTTAAAACTACCTCTCATCCACCTCACCCCCAACCCCTTGCATCCACATTTTACATTCTATCTCTATGAATTTGACTACTGTTAGGTACCTCACATATGTGGGCTCAAAATATTTGTGGCTCTCATATTTCACTTAGAATAATGTTCCCAGGGTGCACTCATGTTGTAACATGTGTTGGAATTTTACTTTTTAAAAGCTGTTGTGTATATATACATTTTGTTTATTTATTCATCTCTCCATGGACACTTGGAATTGTTTCCATCTTTTGGCAATTGTGAATAATGCTGCTGTGAATATTGTTGTACAAAATTTTGTTTTGAATCCCTGGTTTCAATTCTTTTTAAGTATTTCCCCAAAAGAGTGGAATTTTTGGATCATATGGTAATTCTGTATCACTTTTTCCCCTTTTCTTATTTTATTTATTTACTTTTATTGGTTCTTTTTAATTATACATGACAGTGTGAATCCATTTTAACATAATTATACAATATATGTAGTATTGTATAATATATCTTGTTGTAATTCAGATCCCAGTACCTCTCCCTCCCCTTCCCTCTCCCCACTCTCTTCTTGCTCCCTTCCCTCTATTGATCTTTCTGCCATTTACCCATAGTTATATTTTTAAATTAATTTCCTATGGATATACACAATGGTAAGATCAACTGTGGCATATTCATATATGTACATAGGATCTATATTATCTTTGAGGAACCACCAAAATGTTTTCCATAGTGGTTGCATCATTTTACATTCCCACCAACAATGCACAAGGGTTCCAGTTTCTCCACATTCTCCCCAACACTTGGTTATTTTCTGGGTTTTTCAACAATAGCCATACTGATAGATATTATGTGGTATCTCATAGTGGTTTTAATTTGCATTTCCCTAAATACTAGTGATAGTCATTAGTGATAATCAAATGTTATTGTCCATTTGTATGTCTTCACTGGAGAAAAGTCTATTTAAGTCATTCCTATTTTTAGTTGAGCTTTTGTTTATTTTTAAGTTGTAAAAGTTTTTTTTAGATATTCTAGAGATTCATATGCATATATATATATATAAACATAGATATATATTTTGCTAATATTTCTCCCATTCCATAGATTGCCTTTCATCCTATTGATAGTTTCCTTTGAAACACAGAATTTTAAAAATTTTACAAAGTCAAATTTGTCTACATGCTGTTTTAGTTGCTATACTTTTGATGTTACAGCCTAGAAATCACTGCCAAATCCAATATTGTGAAGATTTTGCCCTATGAATTTCTTCTAAGAGTTTTATAGTTTTAGGTTTTACATTTATGTCTCTGATCCATTTTGAATTAATATTCTGTTTGGTAAGGATCTGGCTTTGTTCTTTTGCATGTGAACATTCAATTCTTCCAGCACCATTTGTTATAAAGACTGTCCTTTCCCCATTGAATGATTTTGGTACCCTTGTCAAAAATCATACATGGGGCTGGGGCTAGGGCGCAGCTGTAGCATACTTCCTTGGCATGTGTGAGGCATTGGGTTCAATTCTCAGCATCACATATAAATAAATAAAATAAGAATCTATCAACAAAAAAATAATAATTTAAATAAATATTTTTTTAAAAAATCATACAAGCTAGGGCTGGGGTTGTAGCTCAGTGGTAAAGCGCTCAACCTAGCATGTGTGAGGCCTTGGGTTAGATCCTCAGCACTACATAAAAATAAATAAATAAAGGTATTGTGTCCAACTACACCTAAATAATAAATTTTTAAAAAAATAATATATGCTGGGCATGATGGCACACTCCTGTAATCCTAGCAGCTTGGGAAGCTGAGGCAGAAGGATCACAAGTTTAATGCCAGCCTCAGCAATTTAGAGAGGCTCTAAGCAACTTGTAGAGACCCTGCCTCAAAATAAAAAATAAAAAGGGATGGAAATGTGGCTCAGTGGTTAAGTGCCGCTGGATTCAATCCCTGGTACCAAAAAAAAAAAAAAAAATTATATGTGAGAGTTTATTTCTAGACTTTCTATTAGTTCCATCAGTTTATGTGTCTTTTTATTTTTTATTTTTATTTTTTTTTGTACTGGAGATTGAATTCAGGGGCCCTTTACCACTGAGCTCCATGCCCAGCCCTTTGTTTATTCTGAGATACAGTCTCAGTTGCCCAGGTTGATCTCTGGAGTAGCTGGAATGCACCACTATTTCTGGCTATATGTTTGTCTTTATGCCATTACCACAATGTTTTGATTACTGTTGCTTGGTAGTATGCTTTCAAAAAAGGAAGTTTGAGACCTTCAAGTTTGTTCCTTTTTGAGATTGTTTTGACTATTAGGGGTCCCTTGAGATTCCATATGAATTTCAGGATAGGTTTTTCTATCTCTGCAAAATCACCATGGATATTTTAATAATAATTCATTGAATCTTAGGTCACTTTGGATAGTATTGATATCTTAACAATACTGGACTGGGATGAGCTCAGTGGTAGTACACTTGCCTAGTATGCATGAGACCCTGTGTATGATGCTCTTCTAGTTCTGGGGGAATATTATTTTAGTCTTTTATTTTCAGGTTTTATTTTATGTCTTTTCCTTTTATTTAGGTTTTCTTTCTTCCTTTCTTTCTTTCTTTCTTTCAATACTGAGGGTTGAACCCAGGTGTGCTTAACACTGAACTACATCCCCAGCCCTTTTTTATATTTTAGTTAGAGACAAGGTCTCACTGAGTTGCTAGGTGCCTTGCTAAGTCTGAGGCTGACTTCTCACTATCCTCCTGCCTCAGCCTCCCAGGCAGCTGGGATTACAGATGTACACCACCATGCCTAGTTTATTTAGGTTTTCTTTTATTCCTTTTAGCAATTCAGGGGGTAGGGTGGTAGTGGGGATTTAACTCAGGGCAATTTACCACTGATTTACATTCCCCAGCTCTTTTTATGTTTTATTTTGAGACAGGGTCTTGCTAAATTGCTTAGGGCCTCGCTAAATTGCTGAGGCTGGCCTCAAACTTGTAATCCTCCTGCCTCAGCCTCCCAAGTCACTGGGATCACAGTGGAGCACCACCACCCCAACTTAGTAGTTTTAACAATGCTTTCAAGGAACTTCATGGTTTTCTAGGTAAGTTCATAACATCTATGAACAAAGATTTTTACTTCTTTCTTTCCATTTTGGAACTCCTTTTCTTGCATAATTATTCTGGCTACAACTGCCAGTACTGTTTTAGTCAGCTTTTGTGCTTCTATGACCAAAAGACCTAATGAGAATAATTTTAGAAGAGGAAGCTCACGGTTTCAGAGGTTTCAGATGGCCCATATCTTTGCTCTGGGCCGCAGGTGAGGCAGAACATCTTGGCAGAAGAGTGTGGGGGGGGAAAACAGCTCAGATCAT